TAGATCTTTGACAGTTATTATATAAAGAATGATCAACTGAATACCAAAAAACCAGACAGGACCAAGATGTTTGGCAAAGCACTATACCAACCAAGCCATCAGATAATCAGAAGAAAGGTTTCACTTTTTCAGGCTATAGGATTAGGAGTTTAGGTGTCTGGAAGTATAGAAGAGAGTCCATAAAGGACTGATATTACCAACCCATTTTTTGATTTTCTTTTTTGGAAAGTATTTAAAATGTAGCAATTAAAATTAAGGTTAGGGTTAGTTTGAGGTTAAAGATATGACAAGTACTATAGATAAAATTACTCCTCCGACATTTTAATTAGTGCTTCAAGATAGGTTTAGACACTCGTTTCTTGCATTTTTTAGTTTTTTTCTTTTTTTTTGCTTTGTAAAAATTTACAATGTGATTAACTAATTTGTGCAGATCTTCCAAAAAAGGAAATTGAAAAATAGGTTGGTAATATCAGTCTCTATAAAGTAGATATCAGGGTTTAGGTGAACTTTACAAGAGCAGTAGTAGATAACTATAGCGGCCTCAGCTCACAAATATTTGTTCTTGAACTTGGCATAAGTTACCGAAAAGGCCTAGTCTGAAAATGTGTAAGACATAGAAAGATTAGGAGGATATATACTATACTACACCCTCTCTAGAGTAACCTGGTAAGTATGAGAACCCTACTGGGTTATCTATAGAATTAGGGCACAAGTAGTGTAGCACATGTTAATCTGGGTGGTCTTCAATGAAGCAGCACAAGGTTATGGGTTGGCGTAATTGAGGTGGTGGTGCAGGACAGGGGACATCAAAGAGTTTAATTGGATAGCTCAAGTAATAGTGGGATAGGTACATCTAGTGTAGACCCTAGTAATAGGTAGCTACTTAATTAGGCGCTCAAAAGGCGCAGGTATGGCTAGAACGTACTCTTGTTAACCAAGAATGTATTAATAAAAATTCGCCCTTCTACGACATTGCGAAGGAAAAAAAAAATAAAATAAAATAATAATTTACCATTTTTGCAGTATTCTAAAAAAAAGCTTTTAAGCTTATCAATTTTGTATAAAGGAATATCAGCTTTAGTAAATGCATTTACTAAAGCAATATTAATAAGCTCTCGATCATTTATGTTAATATTGGCTGTATCAAGAGTTGTTTGACGGGCCGATTTCAAATTTTCAGCTTTAATATTAGCTTTATGTTTTCTTGTATGATTCACAACATGTTGATAAAATTCACAAAATAATTTTTGACCGTCAACATAAAAATTTTTTTTATATTTTGAATTTTTGACTCTATATTCAGCAGCATATTCAGCAGCAGAAACCATTGTTAAAGTTTGCAGAAAAACGGTTATAATATTATAATCAAATTTGTCAATTGATGATACAAGTTTGAAAAGAATTTGTTTTTATTAGAAGTGTAAGAGGTATTGAACTGCTTTTACAAAGTTTTTTTTACATGCTTTCTTATATAAATTATGTTTACTAACACTAACTCTCTTTTCTCTAAACCTTTATTATGAAACTATTTATCATTCAACTCAATCTGCGCTTGGTACTAATACTAACATAACGATATCAGCATAACGATCCTATGCATAACGATCTTATGCATAACGATTTTATGCGTAACGATGATACTATAGTTTTCTATAAGCGTAGGGCGAAAGGTTTGTGATCTTTGTATTGTATAACGTTGGTTAGTAGTTGTAAAATGTGTCAAGTATCGTTATTATACGTAAGTGAAAACTCTAGAATTTTGCGCAGATTATGTAAAATTTGCAATAGCCCTACATCCGAATCAAAGTTTATCATTGCTGTCGGTCAACTTTTGCCAAAATTTCCAGAATTTATAAGAACAGCTGTAATTGTCCGGGACAAAAATGTCCGCGGACTGTCCGCCGTCCGCGTCCGTGTCCCATGACAACACTGAGGTCGGGTGCATCCCTATATATGAACCAAACAATTCGCAAAATTTGTCCTTTTATTTCACATAACGAGGTTCCAAATCGATAATTTAAAGTCTGGGTGACGCCCAAAAACCCAATTTACTCAAAACAATGAATTCCGCCTCCTCAACATTTATAATTCCTAAGCGACAAATACTTACCAAAGACGATTTAGACAAATTTCAAGAATCGCAGGCATATGAAGAATATTTTTCTTTCATTGTGCGATTAAATGATTCAGTCAAGGGATTAAAACTGACAACTGAATGTATTGTTTCCTCGGTAACTTTTGTTCGCAGATTGTTTTTTTTCATAACGCGATTATACCGTAATATGACCTTTTAAACGTTGATTTTTGTGAAATAGGCTTTAGTAAATATACTGGAAATCTTGGATACTGTAAATACTTACTGTAAAGAAATTCCCCCAGTAAACAACGAAAAGAGTCGCTTTGGAAACCCTGCATTTAGAGATTTCTATGATCGAGTTACAAGTGTAAATATCATATCATTATTACTTTAATCACTTGTCTCAACGTTTACACGTTTAATTTTACATGTGTCACGTGTAGACTGCCTTTGAACTTCATGAAAATCTATCACTTCCTCCAGCCGCAATACCAGAAATATCAAAGTATTTTACGGAATCCTGGGGAAATAAAACAAGAATAGATTATGGTACTGGCCATGAGGCCAATTTCATGGCATGGTTGTGAGTAATGCCTACAATATAATGTTTTATCTTAACAAACTATTGAATCATTGCTAATTATTATTTTAATTTTTTTAGACTTTGCCTTGAAAAATTGGGATTGATATGTCCTGACGACTATACTGCTGTTGTGCTCAGAGTTTTTCAAAAGCGAGTCATTTAGCATAGTTTAAGATATCTCTCCTTTGTTGGTGATTTAATTATTAAATTAATATCTGCATTAATTCAATAGATATATTGATGTAATGCGGAATCTTCAATTTAATTACTGGCTTGAACCAGCTGGATCACATGGTGTATGGGGTTTAGACGATTATCATTTCCTACCTTTCTTATTTGGTTCCTCTCAGTTAGTTGGTAAGATGGTACGCCAACCACATCTTTATAATTATTTGATCTAATACATATACCTTTTTAGGTCACAAATATATTCGCCCAAAGTCGATTCATGATAAAGACATCGTAGATGAATTTTCAAAGGATTATATGTATTTAGCCTGTATAAAATTTATTAATTCGGTGCGTTAAAAGTCTATTTTCTTTTAAAAATCATTTTAGCAATGCTTTGTCATTAATATCTATATATATATATTTTTTTTGTTACACTTATTTAGGTTAAAACCGCATCTTTACGTTGGAATTCGCCAATGTTGGATGATATCTCTGGCAAGCATTAATAATTTGTTATTTATCAATTAGTTTTTACTAATTTTACTGATTATTGGTCACTATTATTGTTTCGATTATAGGCGTCCGTGAATGGAAGAAAGTTAATGAGGGGATGCTTAAAATGTACAAAGGCGAAGTACTTGCAAAATTACCGATCATGCAACACTTCATGTTTGGATCTCTGATAAGTTTTGAAGGTAGTACACCATCATTACTTGAGGGAAATGGCGATGGTAATGAAGATGAACATGGCCATGTACACGTTCATGCTTTTGGTCAAGAGTTCCCGGATTGTTGTGGCATCAAAATTCCTAGCGCTGTGGGAGCAAGACAAATGAGTATCAGGGAAGGAACTATAAAAAGATTACCGTTTGATTGACATAGTTGTATTTTTTTTGGTGATCATAATTTATTAAAATTAAAGCTTCTAATTTGGTGTCAATATAAGACATTATGATAGTGATTATTGTATAATTTATTGTTTGACTTACAACGAGCTTATGTGTTTTGTAAATGATAAAGATTCTGTTTACAAAAGAAATTTTCTAAAATGATTTAAACTAAATTTAACAATGCTTCGGAAGAATGAGATTAATTTTAATTCAAGATCCTACTTATTATTCATCAGTTAAATAATAATAATGATATAATGGTATAAGAATAATAATAACTAATAAAGTAAATTTTTTGTATGTACAAAAATTGATAAAGTATAATAGAGTAAAAAAAATGTCTCTTCATTGGATAAAATTGTCTCATAAGACCAACGATTTTATTCAGTTGGACCGATTGGCGTATATCCAGCTCCAGCACGTCTTCGATAAAGATACCAGTGGTGCCAGATATAACCACCTAATGTGCATAGAGTTATAGATGCCAATAATCCTAAAACAACGAAAAAGAACAGACGTCCAATATGCGGAAAAGTACGTTCTGGTTTTAATACTTTATCAACTTCGTATACCGCACCACCATTCCAAGCTACACCTTTGCCAAGTATCCTGGCGCTATCCTCAAAGAAACCACCCTTAACTTCTATTTTGTAACCACCAAATAAGATATCTTTCCTTACAACTAGTTTCGCGTCATCAGATAACATAGTATTAAGTTCTTTACCTTCCCTTAGATTGCCAACACTGCGCGGTATAACATGTAATCTGATTAAGCGGGAGACTCTATCTGGATCATTCATTAATTTCGTAATATTAATTTTTCTAAACGCATCATTAGTGGGCGAAAAAATAGTGAATGGTTCTACTGGATCACTAAGAATTTCTGATAGATTTGAAATTTTGAAAACTTCCAACATGCTAGTAGCACCAATCCCGTTGAGAATCTTACCCACTGTGATGTGCAATGTTGGTGGCAATTGTACAGCGTCGACTACATGCATGACACCTGTTGAAGTAAGAATGTCTCTCTGAATAACTTCTGCAGTACCATTTTCGATCTTAACTTTAATATGATCTTCATTACGCGTAATGTTCAACGGGGAACCATCAATCGCGGTATATTGTGTTTCTCCTTGGGGAATATCTTCAGTATACACAGTATCATTCAACATATGAAACATGACAACTTCACGCAAATCATCTTTACCATAAGGGCTCAAAAAGTAGGGAATGAGAAGATCAAGATTGCTAAAAGCGAGATTAGTTGGAGCAAACACCGAGACACCTTTGCTTGACTCAACGGTTGATAACATATCACTTGCATAAATAGCCGAAACAAAGTTACTAAGCTGTCTATTACGCATGGCGCTACTTATAATATCACCAGGAGGTTTCAAAACTTTTGACAACATATAAATTATGGAATTGCCAACCTCCACTGGAAAATAATAATAATAATAAATAAATAAATAAATGAATGAATAATTAATTAATTAATTAATATATGTGGAAAGAAACATTTTAATCATATATACATACCTGGATCCCCGATAACATAAACCTCATTGAATGCAAGAAGGATATCGCCTTTTTGTTCATTGGCCCATGTTGATTTAACAGAGACACTAATTCTTTGACTTTTGTTCCTCAGTTCTTCAGTTATCAATTCGGTTTTGACAAGCATTTTATCTTTAAAGTCGTGAATTTTATATTTTCCGGGGAGAATATGATATTTCAAATCTTCGGATCCCAAATTCTCAAAAATACTGCTGTCATAGTAATCATCTTGTGGGGCAAGAATTGTATAAGGAGTCTCTAAATCTTCGATATAATGATGTAAACGATATTTGATAAGTGCAGAAACAAATTTGGTGGCTCTCAACCCACAAAGGTATTTGTGCGCATTGAAAGAAATTGCATTAGGAACCGAGATGTTACTAATTACATGAATGACACCTAAATAATTATATTATTTCAATAAGCAAATTTATCTAAATTGAATAAATCAACAGAATCGAATAAATAAAATATAATTTACCATTATGCGCTAACAAATCTTTATAGCTGATCAAGCCATTTGCAACATGAATAACATCATTCTCATCACGTACAACTTCAAGGGGTTCACCTTGAGGGGTTACCACTGTTATTTAAAAAGAAATTTAACATTAAAATAACGCGATCTAAATGTGACAATCCATAATCTCCGTACCATATTATAATCGAACAAACCCTTTGATTTTTCGCGAGTAAAATTTGTCGTATACAAGACATCCTCATAATGTAAATGATGTTTAATAAGACGATCCAGATCCCGGTAACCACCACCACAATTACCGGTAAGGAATTCTCTCTCAAAATGCTTAAGATTTTTAGTAATTGAATCGTCTGTTGGAGCGAATACAGTAATATGGTTTCCAACTTTGATAATATTATCAAGATCCATAATGCGAAGATAGGAAGTGAAAATCTGCAGTTGGTCAATTGAATCTAACGTCGTTACTATAATAATAATTTAAAGTAAACTCATGAGTTATTTGAATAAAAAATAGCTAAATCAGAGGTTGGTAAAACATAACATACACGCATCCATGGGAGTTATCAAAACTCTATTAATGACATGAATAATACCTTAAATTATTAGATAAAAAGTAAGTATAAAAGAAAGCTAGCTGAGATAACTGAATCACTGGATTAATACAAAAAATGTTTAAATAGAACACTACCATTGTCAGCTTGAAGATCAGTCTGGATAATTTTCCCATTCCCAACATACGTTACTTCCTGTCCCAGTTTTTCGATAACTTTCTCAACTTTAGATTTCTGACCAACTTTACCATCACCAAGCTTCTCAGCTATCTCATAACGTGTTGTTAAGAGCTGACCATTAAAAAACTCTTCACCCTTAATCTCTTCATACAAAATATGGTAGAGCATACGATCTTTGGTGACAAAAGGGTCATCCTCGAAAGCTTCATTTGTAGGGGCAAAAAAGGTACAAGTTTCTAAGTGATTAAGAAGTGGTATAAGCCTAGTACGTTGTAAAGCTTCAATAAGGTTAGAGAACCGTTCGTCATTTGTTAAAATGTCAACAATAGTCTTCCTGGCTTCAGAAAAGGGATGACTTGCGGGTGAAAGTAGGAGAAGTAGAAGTAATAAAAACAAACGGCCGCTTAGTGTCATTTATGTAATTATAACAAGTAAACTTTATGAACCATTCTATTTTCATTTAAACCATTTATAACGATGATTCATTGCTTCTGCGGCCACGCATTACAGCACAAATCATACACAAAAAAAGTCTGCATTCATTATGTTATCTCATGACTTGGTTCTTTTCCATTTCAAATATCTATTTTTTTTAACCTTTTTTAAAACCTGATTTTTAAGTCCATTTTCCCAAATCACGTAAATCGGTAAAACAATATGTCTTTAAATAATTATATGATTGGTTTTTTCATTAATTAAAATTTGTTTTCGATATGTTGTGCAAAACAGCATAACTCTAAATTTTTTTCAATATGTGCTAAATGGAATTAAGTGATTTTTTTTATACCATTCGATTTCTTTTCAAATTAATCACTTGGATAGAGATGGTCGATTCGCCACATTACCTATAGTATATAGTATCTTTATATATCGATATGCCGTCGACTTTAGTAACTGACGATCCGGAACCGTCAGAAACCGAATCCGCCTGGATAATTTCTTTCCGGGTTTTGATTCATATCTGAATCGGCAATATCCGAATTAAATATTATTTCAATAAAGATATTTCGAGCAAACACTTGAGTGCTGCAAAAGCTAAAACATGCAAATCTTATCTAATAACGATAATATTTGTATGTATTTTTTAGCTTTGCGGCACTCATTTGATAAAATTCATTCTGATTGGTCAAGTTAAAACTTTAAATTATTTGATATCGATGTTATGATTTGCCAAATATCGACAAGGACAATAGCATGAAAAATATAATGAATTCCTTCACATAATTTTATCTGACAAGAGCGAGTCAATACTGAAAAGAATTATGCGAAGAAACTGTATTCGGTATTTATTGTTTTAAAATATGTTAGCGTTTGATGTAGGAATGTGAAAAATCCAATTCCAAAAAGTCAAATCTTAAAATTCGAACCCAAGTCTAGCTTGGACTCGACTCGTATTTGCACGTGCATCTTTTACATTTAAATATGGCAGAAAAAAATGTGTATTTATGCAAGTCCCAAGTTTACTTTGGATCGAACTTTGATAAAGACTCTACTTTTTTTGAGTCGAGTCAGACCGGACCAGACTTTCCACATCCCAAGTTTGGTATTATGAAGACCCAAATGTAGTTATATTTGACGTAAGATTAATTTGCAATTTGATTTTCGTATAAGATTCCGCGTTGCTGCATTAATTGCCACATTAGTTGTCGAAGATAAATGCAGCAATACCGCAAAACAATGCAATTCAGCCGCAATTCAGTAATTTTGACGTCAAATATATCCTAGCGCATCTTCGATAATTGGGCTGTAGTTATAACTCGGATTCTGCAAATAAAAAAGCTTTATAGAAATTTAATTACGTATTCATTGCTTATTTTATCGTTCGGATTAAAGATACATCATATTGATATTACTGTATACGTACGTATTAATAATACGTACTACAAATGGCATTATCTCTCTGCTATTTTGTGCTCTTATTTTGAACTGATATTTGCCATCCGATTACTAGAATCATAAAACAACAATACGACGAGCTTTCCCTCATTATTAACATCCACCTCAATATCCCACCTCGGTTTTTTGAAACGTGGTAGCAGAAATCACGTTCTTCGTCATATGTTAAATTAAGTGCAAAGGATGAATTTTCATCTACGATTCCTCGAATACGCATTAATGGTGAAGCTATACGAATTGACATAATTTTGTCAACATTATTGTGACAGATAAAAAAGCCAATATCTTCACACTATTTCATTTGATTCTTCCGTAAAATTGACTACAAGCGCATCCGAATCCAGAATCGTCGTATGAAACAACCGTATTTTTCACTTCTACAATTGTGGGTTGAGGTATTACCGTTCCTGCATGCAAGTATGGTGTGGTCTACTTTCGATTATTCCGTTAATATTACTATAGCGAAAAAATGAACAAAATCATGTGATCGGAGATTTAAAGCCGCTCGCTCGCACCATAACGGTCAATGGATATGTTCCTATTCCTGATTTTCATGGCCTGATGCATGTCTATAGTAAATTTTTTCGTGATTTTTATGTTGTCAAAGAACTTCTTTTCTAATATTTCATCTTTTTCTAAATTAATCTAAATGATTAATTAACATGGGTACAATTTTTATCCACATATATGCATTTGCTTTATAACGATAACTCGAAAGTGAGGATTATCACGTGACTATTCTACATTATATTATTGGTGCCTTACTTTCTGTCAGGTGACTTTTCATATGAGAATGTTAAAGGTTGATTAAATACTAAAGATGCTCTAGTGATTGGTGGGTTGAATTTTAATGACCCAGGTGAATATAGGTGGGTAGAGATCATACCCGTAAAAAAGTCACTTGGATAAAATTAGTGAACCTATCGATAGCGATAGTGTAAATTTTTTTTTTTTATACAAGCTTTACGAAATTTGCAACCCTTTTTGTAACATTTTTTGTGAAATAAAAATATTAGATTCATTTTTATTAACTATTTACTCAAATTACAAATATTGACTAATATAACTCTTTAAACATTATTAGTAATAAGTTTATACAGTAATATTGTTAGAATTGTGATGCATATTAGTCATTAAGCGAAAATCGCTTGATGTCCAGATCACACCACGAGGAGGTTTGCATCATGTATCCCAAAGGAGTTTAAAATCAGTGATTTGAAAGAAAAAACTAAATCTCCAGAGAAAGGGATTTAGGAAACATCGATCTTAACAGTATAATCGATTATTTTTTTAATACTTCCCGATCTTTTTTTTAAAAAAAAAGATCTCGAAATGATAAAATACAATTTCGATGATGTACCAAGTCATTGATAAAGTTGCGAGTCATATCACTAAGATAAATGGATGACCCTCAGAATATACAGCTACTATTGCCTCTCCCCCCACACGAAATAGGTGCTATATCAATAATTGAAATTGCACTACAGGTTTTTCAAGGGTTGTTGGTCTTGATCAAAACCAACAAGAAAATAATCACATACCTGATACTGTAACAAAAAGAATGAGATAAAAGTCGTAAATATTTAAACGTGAAATAAATCAAAGTACAAATATAAACAGAATAGCAAGATAAATACATCAAACAAGTAATCTCCACAGTGATAATGATGACGAATCGACTTCACAAGGAGGTGAAAATGCGACCACATAGGATGACTGATATATGACTGATCAGTAATTCACCCAATTAGACCAGAATCACCAAAACAGCCTAACTTCTCAAACTTATGTAGAAGTGGGATGGTACGACAAATAAAGCAAATAGGCGGAAAAGAAGAAAAAAAATATTGATTGAGAGAAAAAAATTGGTATATATAGTATGATCACGTATATATACAATCTAAAAATAGGCACGTACATATGTACTGTACACACACAAAATCTGGTCTACAACTACTATTACGTCTTCCGCTATACTTCGGACAATTAGTAAAAGACTAGGCTTGTGACCTGATAAAGTTCTTGCAAAATCCAGAGCTTGAATTTTATGCCGGGTTCAATTTCTACCCGGGATTAGTATACCAAAGTTTAAAAAAGCATTATGTTGCTATAAATACAGTTACATTAGTAATGCAAATGTAAAAAGGTGAAAATAGCGCTTTGAATCGATGAATAAATTACTAGAGTAATACGAATAGTAAAGTAGTGGTGTATAATACGTTAAATTAGCAAACACGTGTGTATGGTTGGTGAGGTCGCAACCACGTATAAAGTAATATATTGTGTATAGTATACAAACGTATATAAAGTTTATGCAAATGTGACGTTAAGGAAAACTAGACTTCGGGCTTTTAAACGGGACCAATTCTGGATAATTTTACAGTAATAGGTTGAGTCTGTGATGTCATAAATTAATTAAACTTTAAATAACGAAAGCAATGATCGTAAGGCCATACAAACTTAATAAATCGGTTCTCATAACCCGGCCGGGTCAAATTTTACAAAACTTTAAAAACAAATTTTAAGTATATTTACTATCCGGGTGGGTTTTTCTAAAAAATTTATAAAAAATTTTATATGTTCTTTATATAGAAAATTTTTTGAAAATAAAATTAAAAGCCGGGTTGCCGGGTCACTTTCAAAAATTTTATGTTATGAGAACCGATTTATTAAGTTTGTATGGCCTAACTGCTGAACTGTGATTATTTTTTTAAAAAAAAATTAGATCACCCATCAATATATGCATGTTTCGCTTCATTTTTCAATTTATTTCAATTATTGATTGCCATATTTCATTTTTAAATTAGAAAACGGCTTAGCCATTTTGTAGTCAATATAAGTTTACAAAAGTAATTATAATAATTTGATTAAACATACGATTCACATGTGTGTGTTCAACGAAGTATAATTAAAATTTTATCTACATATGCAAAATATTTCAAATACAATTTCTTTAACAAATAAAACACATCCATGTCATCTCGGGTATAGCAAATTTTTCGATAGTGGCTTAATAGCAATATTCTTAAAAGAAATTCTCATTCTATTATAGGTTGGACGTTTTTGAATATTATTTTATGCTAAGTATTTTAAATATTATGAATAAAAGCCTTTAATATTACGAACTTGGCATGTAGTATTTTGTTTAGGTTCGTCTGCAGTAAAGATCCAGACTTTTTGATATAATTAAATGCTTATTATAGACATCTCTGTTCTTCAACCTCTGCTTATTTCTATTGGTGATAGAAAATTGTGACTTGTAAATCCATAAGTACTACGAAGAAAAAAGTCAGTACTCATTTAATATATGCGATTTAATCAGTTTTTATTATTGTATGCAAATCTTCTCAGCATTAAAAACTGACCCGAGTCATTTTTAAATCAGTGGGAATTGAAAAATGACATGCGTCGATTAACAATTGGCAGAATTTAAAGATGTCACGCAGATCAATTTGTGTAAAAATTTTTATTAGTAGGTCAAATGATCTAAGTAAAATTTACACGAAATTTGCTTTCTAGGCTTATTTAACCATAAAGAAGTTGCCGGTTTAATTTCTAGGTATCATTTGGCAAAGTTTCTAGCATTTGAAGGTTCTTTCAAGGGTGATTAAAAATAAACCAAAAAGAATCTTGACCATGAAGTTAGCCTATTTTTTTACGATTTTTACTATTTGTTTATAAGTAATTGGGGTGTATCAATCTGCTCTTGCTGCCTACATGAGCTATGCTAGTTCTAAATAAAAAGATGTAGCCTATGCAGATCATAATGTTACATGGAAATCAGAGATTCTATTGATTTCAAAGAAATATAAACATAGCTAATCAAAAGTATAAAACATACAATCTAAAATCATTATTACAAAAATCATGTGGCCACATCTTTTTGCAATGTGCTATAATATTTATTAAATAACTGCTTTTAAGTTTTTAAACAAAATTGTAAAATAAATTTTTTGATTCTCAGTAATACAGTCAGGGATTTTACCAAAAATGGACATTGAAGATCGCACCTTTTATGGTATAAGGATGTTGATCAGAAGATTCTCGATTTTATAGCACATGA